TTTTTTTAGAAGCTGAGAGATGGCAAGCTGCTGTGTCTGCAGAAGAGAGGAGTGTACAACCTTGCAAAAAAAGGGATACAGATACACTTTCCCAGAAGGTTAAAAGTTCTATTTTTACACCTGCAGGCCCAGAACAGAAGGCTATAAAAAGTGCACTGCGACAGGTCTGGTTGTGAATGAGAGGAGTGTTTATATTTGTGAACATTTCAAAAATTAATTTAGATAAAATGCAGAACAGGTTTCAGAACACTCCCTGCTAAAGAGGTCAGGTATTTCATATTGGTTTCCTATAATCTTCTATCTTCTATCTGTAGAATGTGAAGGTTCACCTTGTTTTCCAGGTCATTGTCTCTTTGTAAAAGCTGCTGTTCAAGTTCCTCAACTTTCTTCTTTAACAAAACAATCTTGCCGCGACTAGCTTGGTCTCCTCCTCCGTCTGATGATCCCTGGAAGAAAACAAAAACACAATGTTGTTTTTTTTCCTCTTTTTTGCCATGAAGGGGAAATATGTGTTGGAATTATATAGTTATTTTTATCCACAATATTGTTTCTTTGTCTTTTATTATTTATAGCTAGATACACAAGTCGTAACAGCTTTGATGCAAATTGATGAATGAATTATCTTACACTCCTTAACATACTGTCACGTGGGACGTGTGTTCCTACCTTTTTGCCGTGCGTTGGTGTGCCCTTGCCCCCCTGTTGTTTCTTCAGCTCTTCCAACTGAGTTGTGAGAGATGTGACCTTGGCTTTGTTCTGGAGACGCAGCTTTGTCAGCTTGGCCTCACATTCCTCCTTCTCTCCCTGGAAACACACAATTATGTTACCGGACTCCTTCAAAGGAAACTGTTGTCAAATTAGCTAATTTTGATCATGCCACATATAAATCTTTTTTATCACTGTTTCTGCCATTATAAAGTAATAAATAAACAAATGTGTTCTTTTTTGATTTTTTCAAATTTTTTTTATTCATCTTTCAGAATTTTTATGTCTGACCCAAATAGAAAATAGCAGTAAATATATTGCCATGATCTCATATTGATGCAGCTGAAAAAAAAAACCTGTTCTACACCTGAGGCGTGGTCACTATTGTGTTATAGTAAAGAACAAATCTAACATTCCTATCTTTACTACAGGATATGTTAACTCAGCAGTTTAATATTTAACTATATAAGTGATTTTACCCAGTGGAATCTGCCTTTAAATTGTGTGTCCAGTCTGACTGTATTTGTCACTATTTCCTTTTTGCTGCTTTAAATACTTTCAGGAAAACGTCATTCAAATATTCCATGTCAGTGTTTTTAACTAAAGGTACAAAAAAAACCCAACTACTTCCTTTTGACCACTTTAAGGGAAAATCTTTAGCTGTCAGAACTCTGACCAAAGCAATATCTTGCTGAAGAAAATACGTCTGAATAAGAGAATCACAATCAGAATTCTTATATCGTTATGGTAACAAAAGAGCATGGCACAACAAAACAAATCGAAATGCATGCGATATTAAACAGTGACTAAACCCTGACTTACAGAGCATCACCTCTGCTCACCTTCAGCTGTTCATCCTTGATGCGAAGTGTTGCATCCTTCTCCCGAATCAATTCCTTCAGCTGAGTGACGAGCTGCTCCGTCTGGCTCAGCCGCTCTGCCATCTCCTCCACAGCAAGCTCTCCACTGCCAGCACTGTTGTGGGGAGACCCTGGGCCCTGAGGTCAGACAATTCAAACGTCGTCACGGTGTTTTGACATCTTTACGACTCCGTAACACTGAACAACAAACAATGACTGCTGAGGTCGGACAGAGACTCAGAGCAGCGAGAGCACGGAAAAAAAGCTGGCGAGACTCAGAGCAGCGAGAGCACGGAAAAGAAAGATGAGGTGAATGAGGAAAAAAAGCTGGCAGGCTGAGTCATCATGTAAGTGAAACTGATGCATTTCTACAGGAGAAGAAGAAAGTAAAAGGTGGTTCAGACACCAGATGATGATACCATCACTTCAGTGAGGCCGCATTCAACTGACATGACCTGACATGAGGGAAGATTCCGGAGCCATTACCCTTGCAAGCTGATTCTACTTCACTACCACACATTAATAATAGAGCATACATAAGAACTGGTTCGACCAAAGCTGCTGTGAAGACCAAGCTGCTGTCAGGAGGAACAATTCAAATGCCCTGCTGGATTCAGGATTGCTTTGTATTCATGCTAATGGTTTAGATGATCCTCAGCAGGTATTTCTTCTTCTAAAGAAGAAAAGGAAAAAGAGGGGACAATTGGAAGCTGTGTTCTCCTACAGGATATGTAAGCCGTGGTCATCGGAGCTAAAGCCCCTTACTCAGGAGTCAGCAGTTAAATTCCTGTTCATCCAAACGTGAAATGCAGCTCTGAAAGCAGTCTCTGTTTCAAGTCTGGGCAAAAATAAAACAGCAGCAATGCAAGCCACAACTAAAATCCACTAGAAGGCTAGATTTAAAAATCACACTAAAGTTGGAGTAAAAGTTTAGGTAATGTTGTAAGGAAGGAAAAGGAAGTTTAATATATTGTTTAATAGAATAGATGAATAGTAGACAATGACTGTGTTGTCTGCTGTTAACTCACCCCTGAGCCAGGATCTCCATCTTCACTGGAAAACCACTTCAACATGTTTTTCCCTTTAGGCATCATAAACAAAACAACAGAAAAAAAAGTATTGTTCAAAAGCAGCAAGACTTTTATAAAGATGTTCACCACATTTATTTCAGTAATGCCACAAATAGATGACACTGCAGAATCTCAAGCCAAAAAGCTTCACATCACGTAGCTTCAATACAACTCTGGCAACATTATCACCAAAAGAGCAAGAAAATGTTCACAGACTAAATACGGTTTTTATACAATGATCTGTACATATGACATTGTACCAGTGTATACATGAGCAACAAACACAAACGGTTGAAGTCGGTCTTGGTCGTGCAGAAACACAAGATACATGAGCAACAAACACAAACGGTTGATGTCGGTCCATTACTAACTGGGTTACTAACTGCTTCCTGGTCGAGAGGAGGTTTAGACAACGATTAAGCCTCTAGCTGATGAATACAGATTTATCAGGTTTTTAAGGGGCAGATAACCAAACATCGCAGCCCCTGTCTGCATTGTGCTTTTATCCAATAGAGTAACTCTAATCAGATAAAGCAATCATATAGACGTCGACCACTGCAGAAGGCAGTCTGTCACAAGACCAGACTTGTCAACAGGACACACACATTCTGTCCTGTTAAGGTGGCAAGAAAACCCAAGCTCACACACCCTGGTCCTGGTGTAGTTATCACACTACAGTAGGGACACGTAAACTAAAAGGTGTGGTTCAGGTTACCTGCTGCAGCCAGTGAGAACCAACACGGGTGTTAAGCCCAGGCCAGGATCTTGAGGCCTGTTGTAACTGTGCTTACAGTGACAGATGCACCGTCAGCCATGTTCTGTCACAAAACACAACTCTAAAGAGAAAGTCGAGCCAATCTAGTTAGCCAAACCATACGGTAACAGTACGTAACTGTTACATGTCACGTCAGGACATGTAACAGTTTCTTTGAATTGCATGACTAGCGGCAATATGAAGTCTCTAAAAACCGTGCTATGGCCTGAAACTATGAATGAACCACCCTTAAAATATGCACCAGAGGCTGACACTGCAACTATACAAACAAACCACATTATTAGATATTTTAATCTTTTTTTTCATTTTGGTTATAACCTAATTTTTTGTTGCATAAAAAGGGACAACTTAAAAAAATCACCAATACAGCTCAACATCCGAAATAACACCTTATCTTGACACGTTAGCTTCTGCCCTAGCTTCGTGCGGCTAACTTGCAATAACAAATGTTGATACTCACTCACCGTCCTGCTAAATTACGAATTCAATCAAATCGTAACATTAATGTCGCAAAAATAAGCATACGCTTCCCTAATAAAATAGAATAAAAAGAATAATACGACACTTTAGCTCGTTTATCTACCATCGCTAACAGCTACGTAGCTACATGCTAACGCTACTTAAATGCACCTCTTAATAAATGTCCTTTTCTTGCCAACTCAAAAAGTACTTCTGGAAAAAAACATTTACCTGATTCACAGGCCCATGAAGAATTATTAATCTTTTTAACGCGATCACTTTAAATCGACGCCAAAGTCCCGTGTATTTTCATTTTTATTCCATTGAGTCACGGAATTCCAGACAGGACAACAGATGTGCGTCCGTCACGTTTGTCAACAGACAAGTGGCCAAGACGTGCGCAGGCGCAGAACTGTCACAAAAAATATAAAATATACACACAAACAAACATACAGCATGTATTTATGTACGTTTATATAAATTGGTATTATTATTATTATTATTATTATTATTATTATTATTATTATTAATCCTAATTAGGGTTTGGTAAATTGTAAAAGAAATTTAAAGGTAAATTAACCAATAGGGTAGTTTGGGATTAGTTGAGGTTACAATTAGGGTTAAGATAAAATTCTGGTTAAACTGTACAAATTATTTAAGTTCTGAGAAATCGCTTGTGTTTATGTGATTACCTGATATTACTGTACTGATGCGGTTCTATGCATTATGTCCATGTTGAGGCTCACAAAAAAAAAATCAATGTGTGTGTACTATGTGTTTTGTAGGCATAATAACCGTAGGTCTCTGGTGTCACTATGAGGGTGACGATTACCACGTCCACTAAAGAGTCTTAAGGGCTAAGAATAGTTAGCCCGAGCTAAATCCATCTGCTGAAACCCCCGTGTGTTATTAGCTAAATGCCACTGCTAAATTATTGAGCTTGTGAGTTTTTTTTGTCACTGGGAGATATTGGCACATCAAAATGTTTCACACAATGTTTTTATTGTTGATCAACAGAACTCCCACCTTCTACCAAAGATATTTGCTTTCATTGAAAAAATGGCTGTAAAAAGTCATTTTTATTTCTTGCAAAAAAATGAGTTTTAAACTTAGACAGAACAATAAGCCGTTCCTCTTAAAATAGTGGTCCCCAACCACCCCACCCCAGACGGGTACTGGTCTTTGTACAAATGGTTTATGGTGGCCAGACTCTGACCAGTGATGGAATGATCCCAAATCTTTTGTCAAATAAAAAAAATGTGTGTAAACATGATTAAATCGCCATTAAAGGCATATGGTCATTGTCATGGGATCACAAAGTCAGTTCTGCTAAATCAGGGTTTTTTCAGCTGCTCCACGAACCAGTCGGAGGGCCCAAAGTCCAATTTGAGCTGATCCATCAACCAGGGGTCCTTTTCAGCCCCCTCCAAAAATTCCTCTAGAGAAATCCGACCTGAAAAAACATTAAAAAATGATTAAAAAATGACAAAAAGTGATTACTAAAAATGCTGGTGGTCTGTCCTGGGTGTCAGGTTAATTTGTCAGGTACTATATCTATAACACATTTTACATCAATTTCCAAAGAAATTTTGACTGTGTTTATTTTTTTTTAGATGACATTAATCATCCAGTTCTAACTATTCCCTTGTAATATTTATTGCAGCATTGAAGATGAGTCAGAAATCTTAAATTAAATAAAGCTGTGCTGATGTGTAACCAAAGCTGAAAGACTTACTGTCATGATTCTTGTCCACTAACTCAAATATTCTGTCACAGATATCTTCAGTGTTCACGGTGTGGGCTGCATCGTTGTGTTTCTTAAGCTTGTAAATGATCTGAAAAAATAAAAACAAAGAGAGTATGGTTTGAATCACATCCATCCATCCATTTATCACCTATAAAACTGATATCAGATCAGCTGTTATATAACTTTCATTTATATAATTGTATATAATATAACAATTGACTAAAAAGATAAATATTTAAATTAGAAAACAGAATAACGGAGGTTTAGTACTTGGAGGTAAAATGGCCACTCACTTTAATGATGTGTTGAACTTCTTGACGGTCCAAACATCCATTTCCATCTCTGTCATAGACTTTAAAAGACCATTTGAGTTTGTCCTCAAGTTTCCCACGGAGGATGAGGTGTACTGCTGCCACAAACTCCAGGAAGTCAATTACACCATCCTGAGGGAACACGGGATATTTAGTTACACTTCACATGTCTTAACACGACACTTAAATTGACGACAGCATTACAATACCTTATTGGAGTCAAAGGAATGAAACACAATCTCCATGAATGCCACCTCTTCCTCTGTCGAGCGGCTGTTGATGCCGAAGATCTTCTTGAACTCGTGTAAGTGCAGATTCCCACTGGGACAGTCGGTTGTAAACCTGCGGTAGAGTTCCTGGATGTTCTGAAGGGTCACCTCCGTGTCCATGGCAGCCTGCGCTTGACCCATAGCGTTGCTCAAGGAAGAAGAAACACTCTGCTGAAGTCCGCTCTGTGTCACATTTAAATAAATACTATTGTTTTTTCAGTCATTGAGATGAGAATAAATTTTCCTCCCAATACATAAATAAGTCAAAAATGAGTCCAACAAATCCGAGTAACTTTGCTCCAAAGGTAAAACCGAGCGCCTATGAACCACACTCGCAGAGAGAAACAACACTTTCACAGGCTTCTTCGTTATGAAGATGGGATTGCTCCAATCCAGATTAAGACCACGACCAGGCTTTAAAGACGGGGTTTAGAGGCGAGGACGACGTCACGGTGGCGTTGGGTAAAACTGTTGATCCCTTCTAGGCTGTTTGTACAAGGGTCACCTGCCGTCACCTCTCTGGTCTAACAATATACATGAAAAATACAACTACAAAGCTATAATGAGTGCCCCCCCCCGCCCCCCCACCCAGCAGACACCTCCTACCAATAGGAGTTATAGTTAAAACCTACTTATGTTGAATTGCTAAGATCAAAAACTAAAAAAGGTAAAAAAAAAAAAAGAAAAAAGAATCAACAAACAACTATGACAACTATTGTAGGCTTTAAATATTTTTTTAAAAGATTTTTTATA